TGGGGCGGGGCAGTTGGGGCAAATTTTGGAAAAAGATCTGACCAAAACCTGACCCAATTTAGAAGGTCTTGGGTCATTCAGGTCTTGGGTTGGGTCCAGGCCAACCCAGCAAAAAAACACTTCAAAACTTTCATATTTCCGTGTGTATCTACTATTGAAAATTGTGTGTTTACTATTTAAAGTCATGTGTTTTGATAAGAGGGCTAGATTGTATCATATATCAACGGTGGGCCAGTTACACTAACCGTAGTGTTAGTGTAGCGTAGTGTTATCTTTTTAAGCTACGCTACACAAAAGTTACTGTTAGCGGGAATTTTTGGCCCACTAACACTGCAGGATTTTTGAAAAACAAAAAAACAACTTTAGCGTAGTGTTAGCTACCTTCAAAAAGGCACAACTAACACTACCCAAAATCCTGTTAGTGAAACTTTAGCGGTGTTAGTGGGTGAACCCACTACACTACATGTTAGTGTAACTTTTTGCAAAGTTACACTAACAGTTAGTGTAGTGATACCCTCAGTTACACTAACTGTTAGTGTAACTGGTGAAAAAGTTACACTAACTGTTAGTGTAACTGATTAAAAGTTACACTAACTGTTAGCGTAACTGACTATGTAGTTACATGACCACATGACTAGCGCTAGTCTACCCTGAAGACAGTGCCTGATTGGGGGGCCTACATCCAGATCCCCTCAATTGATCATCACTTTTTTTCAGTTGGTACTGGGGGCCACTCAATTTTAGCCCCCTGCCATTTTTTAACTTACTGGGTTCCATTCCCACACTTACTTGTGTTCAATTTCCACTTTGACATCATGCAGCAAGGGGTGTGTGTGTGTGTGTGTTGAGGTGTATGATAGTCTGCTACCATTATGTATCACCAGAGTGTGGTGGAGCTGTGGGCATGGGCCATGACAAATACCACCCAACTGACCTGGGAAACACAAGCATCTGTAGCCTAGTTGGTAAAGGAAGCACTCTTGTATGTGACTCAGCATTGCTGAGGTTGTGAGTTCAAATCTCACCAGGCACATCCTCAGTTCGTTTTTCTCCACATCTTGTGCTGTTCATATTCTGCGGGATTGTGTGCGATCACGGGACATTGAAAATCGTCACCGTGGACCTCGGCCGTATCAGTCATATGAACATTTCACATAAGTTGTGCGAAAATCCAGCTTGACACCTCAATTTCTTTAATTGATGAGTTACAAGTTACACTACACTACATGTGTAGCGTAACTAGGCATGTAGTGTAGCGTAGTGTAGCTTAATTTGGGTATAAGTTACGCTAAATTTTAGCGTCAACTCAGTTACGCTGCTGGGTTAGTGGAAGTTTTGTTAGCTTGGAAAAAGTTATGCTACTTGTTAGTTTAGTGGCAATTATTTTCAAGCTAACACTAAAAAAAAATT